CAAGTTTTGTTCAGGCGCAGGCGACATTTGTTCCACAAACTAGTTGTCCGAGGCTGTGTTTTTGTCTCAGTGGCGTCTTCATAAGACGGATAAGGGGTACGGCATCTAAACCCCTTAGAGATACTGTAGTATCACTTTTGTTTTTTATTCGAGACTTTACATGCGCTTTTAGACTCTATCCTTTTTACTAACCCCAATTTAAATATCATGTCACCCATTGCGCCGTGCCCTCCACATAAAATTGGGGAGAAAGCAGATCATGGTGAATATTTTATACTAATGAAGTCAAACATTCGTTTTTAAATTTTTGTTCTTCCAAATTCTGACATATAAATGTTTGTTCTTTTATCTGACTACTTTCTTAATAATATTATAAGAAAAGATATTATCAGTTTGAGTATTAACTTTTTCCTATTTCATTTGATTCCTGATTAACGTTCATCAACAGCCTTTAATAGTCCACTGCTGGACATAAGCCTCTCCTTAGAAAGGAGGTTTTGGCCTACTATACCACGCTGGCCAGACGGGTTTGTATAGGGTTTGTGTCAAGTTTTCCTTCTCTCTGCAGTGTTGTTGTTCTGCGTAGGTTTTTCCCTTAGTTGCCTCTTATAACACCCACGGGATGATTACAACACCCACGGGATGATTACAACACCCACGGGATGATTACAACACCCACGGCATGACTGATTAACGTTAACACGCAATAATAGAAAAGCAATTCGGACATGTGCGAGTGGGACTCGCGCAAAAAGGGGTTCCGTACAAAGGAAAATGGCAGGCAGGGACTTTGGTACCGCCTTATAATATTGTTATGTTATGTTGTTTATATATAAATAAGTACCTATGTTTTTGATTAAGACTGTTTTTTGACTTACACATTAACATTTAAAGTACGCATAGTGCATTATTATTGGTTTAAAGACTTATTTAAAATGAAACTATTTATAATGCTACTGTAATGTAATACTCATTTTATCAATTGTAATATTTTGTTAATTCATGCATGCACTTAATATGTACTTATAATTCCTGATATATTTATATCTTTTCTGTAGTTTATTCATTATGCAAATAAAAGGGGTAAAAAGAAGTGCATCCTTCACGGGGCGTTAGACAGAAAAAAGAAAAAAAAACGTTTGAGAAAAAAGGTAAAACGGATTGAGAAACTTCTGAGAAAAGATTAAACATTCTAATCGTTAAGTCTCATCATTAGTTATATAAAACCTTTGTCGTTGCACCAATGGATCGGTATTCAAATAAAGGAGTTTAATTCGATTGAAGAATTTTCTAGAATCAACTGCGGAAATAATGAAAAAATAAAACCCAATGCACGTCATCATCACATTCTATGACGCTTTACTAATTTCGAACTGATCTTTTAATCAGATTCGATATAATTCATAGTCGATTCGTTTTAGATAAAAACATTTTAATAGTACAGAACACTGATAATGCTACAATGTTGTATTTAATGTAAAACTGATAAAATTGTCAGATTCCAATTCAAATTGGATAAGGCAACAAAAAAAAGGTGTTATCAAGTACAGGTGTTGGATTAATGATAAACCAGACTTGCACCCTACTAAAGTAGTTAATTGTTATTTAAATTATTAGTTTAAATAATAACATTAGAATTAATAAATTTCATGTTTCATAATTGTCAATAATATCATCATCAACAGCCTTTAATAGTCCACTGCTGGACATAAGCCTCTCCTGAGAAAGGAAGTTTTGGCCTACTATACCACACTGGCCAGACGGGTTGGTAAAGGGTTTGTGTCAAGTTTTCCTTCTCTCTGCAGTGCTGTTGTCCTGCGTAGTTTTTTCCCTTAGTCGGCTCTTACAACACCCACGGGATGAATAGGGGTGATGACACTCTGTATTCTTAATCCGTCACCACACGGACGGACACGGAATAATATCATGTAATTGATTAATTACCGTTTTTTTTAAATAATCATATTTGTATCAAAAAATACCAATTACAAGCTTTACAATGTTAGTGTTCTTGACCGAAATACAAACATCGGTAAATCAAAAAAACACTATTATTTCATGATTTTTTTTACAAATCCCGCATTAGGAATATATCCTATGTCGCGCGGGACTTTACACACATACATGAAACGGACACAAGAAACACCCAGACTCAGAACACCAATTTGTGGATCACACAAAGTGTCGTCCCGTGTGGGGATCGGACCCATAACACTCTGCGTTGTAGTAAGTGGCGTGGCGACCGCTTAAACCACTACGTTATCCGTGCAGTCAAATATTTAGCAGTATTTTTTCAAGTTGCATCAAGATAAGACCTCTGTTGATTTTGAAACTACTAGCATGTGGAAAATATCAACACGTTACTACTATCATAACATATTGTAGAATCAAATCGATAAATCCTATTAAAAATGTACATAACCGATATCACTTAAATTTATTAATTACAATTGTATATTTTAGAAAAAATATGTCACCAACAAAGCGAGAAGCCCAAAATCGATCTAAGTGGCGTAAAATGGGAGAGGCCTATGTCCAGCAGTGGACTGCGATAGGCTGATGATGATATCACCAACTTAAAAGTACCTAAGTCATGATAATTTGTAATAATTTATCATTCATTATTAAAATTCCATGCTTAAAAGTAGGAAACTTTCTGGAAAATTCAATTAATATTAGCAACCAATTAAATCAAGAGTATCAAAAGCAATCAACAAACGGCAAAGGTAGATTTACACAAAAACATAAGACAATATTCAGTCGAATTAGAAGCCTCCTTTTTCAAGTTTTTTTATAAAATGAGAACTGAAATGAATGTAGGTAACAAAACTATAAAACTTGAATGTTTCTTATGGTGAAATAACCCATGTCTAGGATGTCTGTATAGGCACCGGCACCAAACTTGAGCGCAGAACTTCACCTGCGCAGAAGTCGATTTTTGGGTCCCTTTTGAGGTATGAAGTAGGACGGAGGAGCAATTAAATCATAACGTCAGCCAGTGATTGGTTCACCGATATTATCGCTGCTTCTGATTCGTTTTCTCGTACTTAAGTACGACGAGTTCACTTTCGAACAAATTAATAGGGTCTTTCTTTTTTAGTAATATTTTTTTAATCATTTCTACTTTCGCTATTCCTCAATTTAGTTTTTTAGTAGTTAAAAATTGAGATTTTTATGCGAGGTGTATTAGATAGCGTAATTCTGCGTAAAGTATTCTGCGTCTAGCCAGCGTGGTATAGTAGGCCAAAACCTCCTTTCTAAGGAGAGGCTGCCTGCCTGATGTCCAGCAGTGGGCTGTTAAAGGCTTTTGATGTGATGATGATGTGTGTATTCTCTAATATATACGTATAACACAATACGACGATGAAGAAAGGGACAACGTACTAGTACCAGCTTTAAAATAGAAAGTGATTTGATGGAAGCTGTTACTCCTATTTCACTCTAATATATAAATATTTTCCTTATAAAATTTAAAAAGTAAAATATTTTTTAAACCAAATTAATACTTACTTACTTACTTAATTAATATTGTGTGATGAGCACGGTCATTTGTTCTGTGTCTGGGTGTCATTTATCTATAATATGTATGTATTTAGAAATATATAAGTATGTTTATCAGCGGTCTGGTTACCATAGTACAGGCTCTGCCTAGTTTGGGATCAGACGGCCGTGTGTGAGTGTGTGAGATATATTATTATTATATTACTTACGTGTTTTATTAAAACCATTTTCTCTTACCATAGAATCAATAACGTAACGTCTTATGCTTTTGTCTATTTTAATTCTATTCCAACCAAGAAAAAATAAATAATATTGAATGAGTGCGCATTCTGTTTTGCCATAAGTGCACGATGCGCAAGCGATCCCCACTCGGCCAACGAGCGCTTAAGATCCGTGCCAGTAACCTTAGTTATGTAACGTTAGCAAAAAAAAACAATGTTTACGGTGGTAGTCACTTAACGTCAGGTGACCCGTCTGTTTCTTTACCCTTTTATACAAAAAAAACCAACATGTATATTTTAGCTGACAATTTTTTATATAAAATTCACTTTTGTTTATTACCATCCTCACGTTATGCGGACACTGCGGTTTATTATTAATCGACACAACGTTTTAAATTCGGCGTGACATGTCATACAATTACGTCATCCGACCACACGAGTGTGTAAAATAAACAGAATTTTTGCTCTAGTTTTCAAATATTGAGTCGAAAGTAATGAAAAACATTCGTGTCCTAGATTTGCAGTTTGAAAGAAAAAAATACACAAACGAGTGATGAATCTTGTTGTATGTCACTTTTTAAAGTCCGTGCAGAAAATAAAGATAGCCATCAGTTGGTATTATCTTTTAGATATACAAAAATGTTGTATGCAACTTGTAGTATGTATAGTCAATAATTTAATACACACAAAAATACTTAGAATATATTTTTATACATATTTTTACTCACATAAAATTGAGTAAACGTTTGTACTGCGCCGTCCAATCGTTAAAAACTATTTTAAGAGTTCTTACATAATAATATCATAATGTACCTTACGCTCTAATTAGTACGTTAGCACTAAAATAATGCTTTATTGTTTTCATCATCCGCCTATTGCAGTCCACACTCCCATAGGCCCCTCCAATTGCACGCCACTTTATTGTTAAGGAATTTTTAAACGTTATAACACTTTTAATTTCCATTTAAACACACGGTCGGTTTTTATCGATATTATTTTCATTCCAATTCTAGTCAAACTCAAATCACATCACACAATAATTTTATTTTAACTTAAAAATGACACTCATAATTAAACTACGTATATTACGCACATTATCAATGCGTTTGTTTAATTATCTTTTATCAATATTTCTATTTTATCTTAATCTTTAGTATACGTATTATTGTGTTACCTAAGGCTTCCTATTGTTACCACGCGGGCAATAAACCCTGCTATCAATTATCCACTGAATCTCATAATTAGTGTAATTATCAAAGAGTGTGGTCGTGTTTGGCAATGTTAAATTTGACTGCAACGTGGCTACAGGTATTGTCTTAAATTTATTTATTCTTTCTTGTTAATAAATATAAAATTGTGAGTGGTATTTATGTCTATAAATTATAAATAGTTTTACCGACGCTGAAGGCCGTTTTACCGCTTGATAAAAACAATTGTCTGCTTTTAATCTAGTTGGATTTACACGTATACTCGGAGTATTCACGTGAGTAAAACCGTAAATCTTTTATAAATAAATGAAAAAGCCTTAAAAAGTAAAAAAAATGTCTAACGTTGCGTCAAGACTTAGTCCAATAGTCTTCCGTGTAGTTTTCCGTGTGGTGACGGATTAAGGATAGGGCATGTCACCACCCCTATTTATCCCATTTGTGTCGTTAGTACCGACTCAGGTGGCGTGGTATAGAAAGCCTAAACCTCCTTTACAAAGAGAGGCATATGTCCAGCAGTAGTCTATTTAAGGCTGTTGATGAAGACTTAGTCCATCCAAACAGAGTGCCCGCGCTTTTGTAGATGTATGAGTTCGGTATAGCACTCTGTAGTTTCAGTCTGCATTGACTGCACGGATGGCGTAGTGGTTTAAGCGGTCGCCACGCCGCTTTATACTACGCCGAGTGTTGTGGGTTCAAACCCCACATGGGACGACACTTTGTGTGATCCACAAATTGTTGTTCTGAGTCTGGGTGTTCATAGTCTCCGTTTCATGTATGTTTATAAAGTCCCCCGCGACACAGGATTTATTCCTAATGCGGGTGTTGTCTTTTTAAAAAAAGAAAGAAAAAGAAAAGTCTGTTCAATTCCATTAAAGTTAACCACTTCACCTTTCATTATTTAGTGTTTTAAGCATGCGTCAGCTCGCATTTGTTTATACGAGAGAATAAATCAATTTCATTCACTGTGCCCTGTATGGCTTGTATATCCAAAATGGCTTCCCAGAAATCGACAGAATTTCAGTTGAAAGTGTTAATGGTCGAATAAGAATTTCATTGCCTAAAAGCAGTTACTGTACGGAAGCTTTCATTTAAGCCTGATTTATTAGACGCTATTATCTGAAACATATTATTTCAGTGACAATAAAAGTAGTGCCTTTTTTCTTTTAGACCCGTTTAGGATTGGATCTGCATTGAATCGATATTATATCAGAAATGTAGATTCGATATAAGATCGGTGTCTCTTTTATATGACTGCGATTTTTTGATTGTTTCAATGAGTTAAAGGTCAAATTACGATGGTTTTAATTTTCATAATCTTCGTTTAATCCGGTTTACGTTTCCACTGAAATTGTGATCTAACACCAACTAAGCGATTATTTTACTGTTAACTTTTTTGTTTATATGACTTAATATTTGTATAAAAATACTTCATTATTTGAGGCATTTTGTAGAAGTGTTACTTTGAATAATTAATTAAAAAAAAAACAAAAGTTGAAGAAGTAGTCATTTATATTCACATTATTACATTATATATAAATATTAAATACATAATTAAATGTTATACTTACATGTAGTATTTATTTGAAAATAGAACAAAATAAATAATGACGTTTGTAATAGTAAATAAGTTTATGTAATACTAGCTGAGACCCACGGTGTTACCCGCGTTTGTTGTTATAACCGCGGGCAACGCCGCGGGGCAAAGCTAGTCCAAAAAAAGTAGCCTAGGTTACTCCTTATGTCATCAGCTATCTGCTAGTGAAAGTCCCGTCCAAATCGGTCCAGCCGTTCCAGAGATTACTCTTAACAAACAGACAGACAGAGAATAAATATTTTGGCATATGTACCGTGTAAACATACATAATAATATGCATTTAGTAAAAAGCTGTTATTTTAATATTACAAACAGACACTCCAATTTTATTTATTTGTATAGATTAAGTTTTATGCTTTTTCTGATGATAGCGGCCGTCATTTAATAGCTCTTAAAACCCAAGTCCGACCCGACGGTGTCTTTATGAAAATATGTTGATAAAGATTCTTTTAGTGTGATTTAACTTTAAAATATAAGTTTATTATATTTATATGCAAAATCTATTTACCATGTATGTAAAATTTTATTAAAAAAAAAATACAACTCCCGCATTAGGAATATATGTATATCCTGTGTCGCGAGGCAGTTTACAAACATATAGAACAATAATTTGTTGATCCCACAAAGTGGTGTCCCATGTGGGGATCGTGCGCCATCCCGTGCAGTCAAAATGTTTAACACTTTTTTTTTTATATTTATACGTTTCTCTTTAAATTTAATACACTTCGAATTTAATCGTATCAAAATGAAACTGTAAACATGTTATTGTACTTTGGATGTTAATAAGGAATCTTGTTGACTTGATCTAATAATAGGAGAAAGTTAAAGTTTTCAGTGGCTGTCAGTTCTTAAAGCCCCCTTTTTTTTCCTGTGCGGCAATCCCCTCGGATACCATGCATCGGTCGGATGATTACGTCGGACTTTTTCGGACGGAATTCTTAAATCCCCTAAACTTTTGTCTCTATATGGTTCATTTTGAGGAGTCCAAATAATTGGAATTGATGACGGTGGTGTGATGCTGGATATCTTTTTTATCTTTTAATTCTTGTTCTTCAGTTTTTAAAAACTAGAACATTACTAGTTCTAGTAAAAAATTAACGTTTTTTTTTAATTAGATAGGATTAGATTTTCCAGTTGTCTTAGTCGATATAATATGTTCAACAGATATCAATAGTTTCAATCAATTAATTAGGCTATTACAACACAAGCCCACAGGTGGACATAAGTCTCTCACAGTAACATACATAGTTAAGGTACGTTTGTCTTAATCTTAACTTAATTTTGTCTTAAGTTTAAAATTCAATATATTTTTTTGGTAAATTAAATTATTTTAAATATTCCATAAACGGATGAAATTACTTAAAACGTTTACAAGGTTCTTTGTCATTTTAATTGATAAACTAAATTCTAAACGTCAATGTTTTGACAATTGCAAGCTATGACGTCATATCTCATTAGTTGAAATTTATTATACGAGTAAATATTGTGATACTGAAGTTTTAAATTGATTTCTTTAGAACTATGTAGAATGGACTTCAACATGTACTTAAATCATTGGCAATAACATAGTTTGATCTTTGACACTGTAAGTGTAAAGTAAGTTGTTTAGAAGTGATTTAAGTAACCAGTTTTTGTCCGCGGCTCCGCCCCGTGTATGTTGTTTATCGCGGTACCCTATGTACTTTCTCAAGAATCAAACTATCTCCAGAACAAATGTCATCTAACTCGGTTAAGCAGTTATTGATTCCCCATACAAACTTCCATCTCGCTTTTCACCCCCTCAAGGATGATTTCTGGGATAAAAACTATCCTATGTCCTTTCCCGGGACACAAACTATCTCTATTTCAAATTTGAAAGAGATAACAGACAGACAGACATACATACAGACACTTACACACACACACTACATACACACACAGATACACAGAAGTAGGTCGCAATATTATTCCTCTCTAGACCACACAGATACACTTTCTCATTTATAATATTATTATAGTGTGGATATAACTGCTCAGATTCTTTTTTCTTTATTTACTAAAAAGTTTACAGTTTACGCTTAAACCACGTAGGTATTCCTTCACTTCCAGTCGACCCGTCTGCCCCCTTATTCCATAAAAAAATAATGTTGCAGTGCTTTTAATGGATATTACTCGTAGAACGTATATTTTTACTAGAAGTCACTTCACATTTAACGCGTATCTTAGAATGTCTTCGATGCTCTTATGTGAGTAACATAATTAATTACACGAACAGATGCTTGTTAGCAAATTTACTTACCTACGCTTAGATCGATTTCTACTTCATTTATAAAGCCTGAAGTTCAATGCCCTGTGTCAGTATTAGATGTTTATTTTAAGCGGTTGCACGCTTAACTGGTGCTCTCATTTCAGCTCGCTTCCTGCAAATGACATAAGTCTCCAGACTTAAATTGGTTTTATTTTTTTAGAATATATCTATTCAAGTCAATTGTCCCAGTTTTACCTGCGTTTGGTTTTACCTCCATTTTTAGGAGAGGCCTATGTCCAGTAGTGGACTGTTAAGGGCTGTTGATGATGATGGTCCGTAAGGAGTAGACAGTGAACAATTCTCCAATTTTTTATGATTTTCTATTTAATGATTAGTGTAGTATCATTTAGAAGAAAAAAAAAATGTACTTTTTAAGTGGTAACATATAAAATATTAATAAGGAATCGAAAGTTTTAGGAGTAGGTCGCAATATTATTCCTCTCTAGACCACACCAGAGGGCCTAGTGCGAGTTTATTTCCTTCTAATCGATCGTCACGGTGACAGATTTCAGTGCTACGATTGGCCCGCACTGAAATCTCCACCAATCGCAACGCTAAACGCGCTCAGACTTGCACTCAGACCTCAGAGCATAAAACTTGTTAGCTAATCGAAAATTATAAAACCAGTATTGTCCGACAACGACAATACACTATGAAATTCATCTCAAATCCGATACTAGTTTCTGACTGTGAGCTCGGAAAAAAATAAAACTTTCTGATCTTAGAATGTCCTTGAACAACAAAGACGAAACTGTCATTACGATAACTTCTTCGATAAATTCATCTCAAATCGGACACTAGTTTTTGGCTGCAAGCTCGTCAAAAAAGAAAAGTTTCTGATCTAAGAATGTCATTGAACAACAAAGACAAAACTGTCATTACGGTAACTTCTTCGATAAAACAGACCATATTTAGTATAAATCGGTTTAGAAAGCAATGAATGACGTCACGCTACTATAACGAGGGGCTTGTAGAATACGTCTGTCGTCTACGAAAGCAAAATATTTAGGAGCAGGGCTTGTGACGTAAAGAAATGACAAAAAGTATGTGTCATTCAAATAATCTTTATTACGTTTGCTTCGTCGTCAACTGCTCTCGATAATTTCTTGGAATTCGCACGCAGAAGTTTTCGTATAGTTTAGTATTTTCTATTATCCTAGAAATTATTCTAGAGAACTTTCATTTGGCATTTTTAGAAAAACTGATTCTTCAGACGTAA